GCCCCAGCCCCCCCGCCCCTCAGCTCTCCCGCACCGTCTCGTGGAAGGTCTTCACCACCGTCTTGGCGTTGTTGGCATCATCGTCCACCACAGCCTGCTGCAAGGCCTGGTCGTAGAACTGCTTCACGTCCTTGGCGATCTGGGGAAGGGAGGTCATCACACAGTGAGGGCCAGTCCCCAGGGTGACAGATCCAGCCATCCTGCCCCCGGAGCTCAGCCACCATGCCACCTCCTCCAGGAAGCCCTCGGTGGCCTCCTTACCAGGCCGGCCCCAAGAGGAGCCCCAAAGAGCACCCTGCAGCCTGACCTGAGCCGGGGGTGCCCCTCCTGCCCCTCCGAGCTGGGCCTAGTCATCCCCGCAGACCCCAGCTCACCTGGTCCTTGTTGACGAAGCCCCAGATGCCAGCGGCCACTTCACAGGCAAAGAGGATCACCAGGCAGGTGAAGAACTGGGAGGCGGGAGAGCAGAGAGAGGGTCAGAGCAGGCCGGGGATGACCAGCGTTTTCGGGGGCCCCAGACCAGTGGGGTGGCTTGGGGCTGGACTTTCACAGATGACCAACGTCCAAGTGACGAACGTATGTGGGAGGGAGGTTGGTGGCACCCACCCACCCCATCCCGACGGAATGAGCCACATGGAGCTCAGTGGCACAGTCTAACACTCGGCCCAGCGTTCTCATTGCTCCCCCGGGGCCCAGGCTCTGCAGGACGGGGCAGCCGAGGAGGGAGGGCGAGGTGAGTGCTCAGCAGGCGCAGATCCCTCCTTCCTCCCTCCCCGCAGGAAGGGGATCACTGTGGGGTGCCTCAGTTTCCCCCGCTGGAGACACTGAATCAGGCTCCCACTGCCCATGCCTCCCGACTGGCCAGGCCCCGGATGCCACAGCCAGGTCTGAGCTTCGTGTCAGCGGGTGACACGTCCAGGGACACCCGAGGCTGGGACTCACTCCCTATGTTATTCCATCTGTGGAGCTTGGCCTCAGGACTCAGCCGTGACAGCCGTCAGCCAGGGGGTACTTAAGGACAGACGGGGAAATGGCACCGGCATTTCGGGGAACGTCGCCGGGCCGCCGTGACCCTTCATCCAGGGCCGACTGACTCGGGGGCGCCCCAGCTCCTGGAGCTCCTGGTTCTGCCGTGGGCGGCGGGCGTCAGCCCGTGGCCTCCACCTGCTCCCCACCCCTGCCCAGGACCTACCGTCCCCAGCAGGCACTGTGACTCCTGGATGGCGCCATAGCAGCCCAGGAACCCGACGAACATCATCACGGCGCCCACGGCAATGAGAATGTAGATGCCTGGACGGGGGACACACGACAGGCGCCTCAGAGGCCACTGGCCCAGGGACATGCCGGGGCCTCATCTCCCCGGAGCCCACCCCCCAGACCTCTCCCCAGCCGTGTGCCCACACACCACTGCCCAGGGAGGGGCCGGGGGCCGATGCCTCGGGGAGGAGCAGCGAGGGCGCTGCAGCCCAGCTGCACTGAGAGCCTCAGTTTCCCCTCCTCAGCACCAATGCACTCTGGGAAGTGCGCAGAGAATGCGGGGTCAGAGCTCTGCAGGAACGGTCTCTCCCCGTGTGACCCTACAACCTGCACCACTCTGTTCCCACAAGCCTCTGGGATGTGGGGGGTCCAGGACCACCCGTCTTGGTGCCACGGTGGGGAGGGCCTGGCTGTTGGCTGGGGGGTCGGATGGAGCAGCCTGGGGATCCCTGGGCACCTTCTGCCACACCCCCTGCCCAGGCATACAGCGCCCACTCTTGCCGCACTCTTGGGCAAGGAGTCAAACCTAGCTGCTCTGGGCAGCTGCCCCACCTGGGGCTTTGGGACTCGACTCTGCCCCTCAGGCGCCCCC